AGAGTCAAGCATAAGTAACACAGCCAACGTTTCCTGTGTATACTCTGCAAAGTATACCAGGGTGGTTTTCTAAAGGAACTACAAAAAGGCGTTTTGTGCTTGGGAAGGGAATACGGGCTAGGAAGAAATTCTGGCCTCAAAGTTAATTAATTTAGAATGCAGTAAGAGGGCCTTGGGTGTAGCTCAGTAGTTGAGAGCTTGCTTCATATGCCTGAAGCCATCGTTTCAAGCTCTAGCACCATCAAGTCTACAGAAACTGGTCCTGTCATCATCTAGTCATACTATTGGACAGGTTGGCCACTCTGGGTACCATTGTCGTAGCTAAAACAGTAGGGACCTTTTGGTAGCCAAAGTTAATTCTGATTCTGAAACCATAGCATGTCACTGTTTGTTAAAGACACTGTGCTTAGTGAAGACCAGAAACACAGCCTGATGAGTGATGAGGTCCTAGGAACCAACCCAAGGAGGGGTGATGATTTCAGCTGACCGGAAGCTGCTGTTATTGATGACTGGGCTTCAAAACCAGCCCTCCCTTTGCACCTGACCTCTGGCCTCCAAGATGCACTCTGAGACTCCATCCCTCCAAACTATCCCTTTTTGTGGTTCCTTTTCCACAGAGTGAAATGTGCTCAATCTGAGCCATGCTAAAGATAGCCTTCTCTTGGTATTCCCTTTCCTTCCACACTTTCAGGACTCTGCCTCTCTGATGACATCGTATTCCTTGAGAGAATTCTTCTTTTCCTTCTTCTTCTAAGATTTATGTATTTGTTAGTATTTATGCAGTATTCTCCTTGCATGTGGGCCTGCATGCACCAATCTCATTACAGATGAGCCACCATGTGGTTGCTGGGAATTGAACTCAGGACTTTCGGAAGAACAGCCAGTGCTCTTCACCTTTGAGCCATCTCTCCATCCCCCTAGACTCCTATTCTTAACCACTGCAGCCTGCAACTCCTGCTCTGGAGGATCACCAGGAACTCCTTGATGCCCCATCTTCACTGATTGTCTTGGCTTGGGGATGAGGCAGAAGCATTCCCCTGAGATTCTCTGCTTACCCCATAAGTTCTTCTCTGTGCAGTAGGCCTCAGGGGTCTTCTCTTAGCCTATTCCCTTTTCTTTGTCTTTACCCTTGGTGTGCTTTCTCATTTGCATAGTGTCAATCATCACCTCCTAGCAAGATATTTAGCTTTGTATCTTTGTTTCTGACTTTTGTTCCTTACTTTACTGTGACTTCTCAGTCAGAACATCAACTTCAGTACGAATACATTTGGCTCCTGTTGCTCCCATTCTGTTTTGTATTTCCTCCCACTGAACCACCATTATTCTTGTCACCGGGAATGTTTCTTCTTCCTCAAATTCAGTCACTTTGGAAACTTGATCAGGACCCTATACCAGTTGTGATACCTCTTAGTAGCAAGCAGTATGGTTATCTTAGTCACTTTTTTTTTTAAATTGCTGTGAAGAAACACCAAGACCAAAACAACTCTTATAAAAGAAAGAATTTACCTGGGGGCTTGCTTACAGTTTTCAAGGGTAAGCCCATCATCATCACAGCAGCGAGCATGATGGATGCAGACAGGCATGGTGCTGGGATAGCAGTTGGTCACTACATCCTGATCTGCAGGAAACAGGCAGAGGAGGAGGAGGAAGAGAGGAGAGGCAGAGGGAGGGAGAGAGAGAGAGAGAGAGAGAGAGAGAGAGAGAGAGAGACTGGGCTTGGCATGGGCTTTCCAACAAGGTACACCTCTTAGTCCTTCCAAACAATTCATTAACTGGAGAGTAAGCATGCAAATTTATGAGCCTGTGGGGGACATTCTCCTTCAAACTGCCACAAAGGCTGTGAGTAGCTGTGACATTTACACTTGAGTCACACTGTCTGCTGAGTAGCCTTGGAAGGTTCCTTAATTCTCTGTGCCTACGTCCCATGTCTATAAAATAAATATTTTAATAGTTTGCTGCCAGCATTAGTTAGATGATGTTGGAATATTTTTTAAAAGCGCTCCTACCATTTATGAAATACTCAAAGATCATTAACTAAAGATTTTGCTCATTTTTGTTCAGACCAAGTACCAGAGAGATTAAGTGACCAAGTAATAGAAATGACAGAAGTGGGTCTGGAAAGCAGCTTACATCAAGCCCTGTATGTCTCTTTAAGTCAGTATGTCCATAAGCTAAGGAAATAGTCACAAAGACCTAAAGCAGCAGCAGTAACAAAAAGCAAGGAAACAAACAAACTTTGTCTTTGCAGACATTTATTTTTAATAAATTTTAAAAGGGAGAGGAGCCACGTTTCTAACCTGAGGTCAAGTCAATTATTTGTGCTTATCAGACCAATGAAACTTTGAAAATAAAAGGTACAAGGAACCCCCAAATGCCATTTGAAGACTACCTTCAACCTTTCCTTCAGTTTCCATTTCCTAGTTGGTTATACCACATACTCCACGTGGGAACAGCATGCAGAACACAGGGACACTGATTACTTGCTAGGTAGACAGAGCTCAGGCACTTCATCTTACAGAAGGTTCTGAAGAAGAAAAAGACAGACACAGAGAGAGGGCACTGTGATATTTTACAATAATCAAATGAGAGTCCACACTTGCTATCTGTGTCTGAAAGAGCCCCATTGGGGGGGGGGGGGTGGATTGGACACTTCTTCTTCCTTGTGTTTTTCATATTTACTTATCTTGTTACCTTCATTAAACCCAATGGGAAACGGTTTCATTCTCACAGCTAATTTGTTTTGACGTGTCTCGAGTGAGGTTTTCTTTTTTTTTGAATTGTGCCTGCTGCTTTCTATCAAACCATGCCCCAATTGAAGGGGCATCTGTTATTGGAATGTCTTTCAAAAACAACAGTGGAGCCTGGACGTCTGGAAGGTTTACAATAAAACCTTCTATTTGGAGCCCACGTTTGCGGAGGGATGATTGAGTTTATTTTGCTTATTTTTTAAGTCTTCTCTGGCATTTTAGAAAGTTGTCATGCGTGATCACGTTTCTTCAGCCGAACGTCATTGATTCAATCTGGCTCAGAGTGCTGGTGAGGGAGACTGCACAGGAGGCATGAAGTAAAAAGCATGTTTGGATGATTTGGGGGCTGATGGGCCAGTGTGCAGGTTGAATGTTAAAGGAGACACTTACTTTGGCCTGCCATCCGTTTCCACTGGTCTCTGCTTTGGAAGGACTTAAGCTGAACTGGTCATCTGCCAAATAATTAATGTCCTTTGGATACCAGTAACATACAGCAGCCCTGGCATCAGGAGGTAAGTGTGGAGAAGACGCCTTGTCCTCTCAGTTACAACTCTGGGGCTACAGAGTGTATTTAAAGGAGCACCCTGTTTTCCCACTGGCTGAAAGGAGATGATCAAGAGTCCAAGGCCATTCTGGGTATAATGACGTCATGCCTCAAACCAAAACACAAACCAAACTTAACAAACAAATAAAAAGGACAAAGTAACCACAAAGGAAAGATGGCTTAAATCAAATTTGGGCAGACATGTGAATATGTATCCATAGGCATAGAAAACAAATGCAAAGATACCTGAAGGGGAGAGTATGGCAATCTTTCTGCCCCAGCGCGGTTCAAGTTCATCAGAGGTTTAGAGAGACAGAACCAATAGGTCTGCGTTCTGAAGCTTCTTCTTGCCAGGCTGCGGGGCTGAGCCATCTTCTTAACTCATGATCTGTCTCTATCAGATGCCAACCACCAAAGCCTCTGGGGCAGACTCAGATAAAGCATTTGAAGGGCCAAGGAATCAGGTTATGGACTCATGACTGGGGTTCCCAATGGCTAATTAACTGCTCCTAAGGAGGGAGATTTCTAATTAGGACATGCTGACTGACTGCTACGTTCTAGACTGAAGTTAACTAGTGAACAGGCCTCATTGTTGTGTTCACGGCCAAATCCATTAGAGTTACACTCTGAGTCTCCCAAGCTTAGGCGTGTGCTTCTCGCCGCCCAGCGCCTTTCGGATCAACAGCTCTGACAAGCAGAAGCAATCATCACTCAGATTTGGCTTGTCCTCTTATCTCCAAAGGCACTGGCTGAGGTTCAGCCGTTATCAGGAACTCCCTTGCGATGTGTCGCAGCCCTCCTGAGGCTCAGTGTAACCCTTTCTCTTCTCCTAGTTCAGTGGTTCTCAACCTTCCTAATGCTGTGACCCTTTGACACAGTTCTTCATGTTATGGTGACCCCCCCCAACCATAAAATTATTCTTGTTGCTACTTCATAACTGTAATTTTGCTACTGTTAGGAATCGTAATGTAAATATCTGTGTTTTCCGATGGCCTTAGGTGACCTTTGTTTGGGGTCATGACCCACAGTTTAAGAACAGCTGTGCTAGTATCTCTCTGATGGGGAGAGTTTCCTAAAAATAAGTGGGACCTTGTCACTCCCCTGCATAAAACCTTCTGAGGCTCTCCGTGGCCTACTGAGTAAGATCCAACCTCTTTCGCTGATTTTTTGTTATAGTGCTGAAGACTGAACTCAGTACACGCTAGACAAATATTTTACCACTGACAGATACCCCAGTTTCTCCTTAGCTGACCTTCACACAAGATACCCTCTACTCCAACCTTCAGTGTCCGTGTGCAGTTGCCCAAATCCTCTGACCCGGTGTCTTCCTCTGCTCGTTGGTAAAGGAGCTCTTTTTGCTTCCGTTTCCTGGCATACACCACACCACTGCGCCTTATGCCGAGCCCTCCTTCACGCCCCGCTCTCTGCAGTGCAGGACTTGGCGCTTGGGAGTAAGTTTGTGTGCACACTCAGGGACGGTAGCTAATTGTGTTGTGTGGCTGAAGGCTGTCAGACACAGTACAAGGTCTCCAAGGAAATAATTTGATCTTCTAAGGAATCATGCACGTTCTTTTAATTGTATGTAGTTCCCACATGATATTTAAAAGTATCCATACTAAAAAAAATTATTCACCTAATTTTCTTTTTCTTTCTCTCTCTCTCTTTTTGTTTAACTCACTTAATTTTCAGATGGAGCTGATTATCCTGCTTCTGCTTGCTAAATCTAGCAAGCCTGGCCATGCAGAGATCCCTCTGTTGAAAGGCCAACTCCATGTCCCTGGCCAAGTGTCACAGACAAGTCTTAAAGACATCCAGGTGAGCAACTAGACTCCAGGGCTAACACCAAGTTCTTGTTGAGTTTGTGTTTCTTGGATAGGGGGAAGACAAAAGAGAAAAGGATGGATTCTGCTGCTTAAATCATCTCACTTGGGAAAATTTTAAAGAAAAAAAAATTTTTTTTAAACGTTCTACATTTTATTGTGGGACAAACTCTATCCCCAGTTTAGACAAGACCAAAATTCCATCTGGTAGGATTGACTGACGATCACAGGACCCAGTTGATGATGATCATAACTCTGTGTAAACCTTCAGTCTTGCCATTGTGCGAATCCTTACAGACCCAGCTTTGTTCTCCTCCAGCGTCTTCTCTTGGAGTTGTACCTGACTTTGTTACCAGTTTTCATCCGAATCCATTGAGAAATAGGACGATTCTGCTTTTGTTTCTTGGCCAGGAATCGCTTGATTCGGAAAGTCTTGTAAGAAGACATAGCAAGAAGCCGAGTTAGGTGTAAGGCTCACGATGGAGGAGGAAAGGCGAAGAGAAAGGCTGGGCCAGAAGCAAAAAAAAATTTTTTTTAAAGCTGGGCTATTTTAACAGGACACAGTAATCCCATTCCCTATGCCTAGCAATGTTTGGGAAGTAAAAAACAGTTCAAAAGTAAGGATTGGAAGGAGTGAGAGCAGAGCGGAGCCAAAGGTTTTGTGCAGCAGACAGACACAAGGACAGCAACGGCAGTGAACTGAAATGGATTACTGTGCACATCTGCCACAATACCCTGGAGTCACCCCCATTAAACCACCCTGTGACCCTGTAGAGCAGATGAACATTGCTACAGGCTGGACAATTTCACTTCCCATTTTGGGGCCATGTTGGTTCCAACTCCTACTCTACCTGCTTCCCCCAAACAGGGAGCTGACTGCAGAGGGGATCTGTTGGAAGACCTACCTTGAATTGCCAGGTTTCTGCACAGGATTTGGGCTCAGCCCCTTTGCTTCCTGGGAAGCATGCTTTGCCTGTCAGGGACTCTCAGATTTCTGCTTTTGCCTCAGTCTTGTGGCCATAAAACTGCCTTGACTGAAAGTTTGTTTTAAAAGCTTATGACTCTGGGTCATAAAGAGATGTTTGAAGAGGGGGAAGGGGAGTCTGTACGAGATAGGACGTTTGGTATAGCTGCCCTCCCCCAACTTCCTTTAGTGGAGCCCATGGTGGGAGCCATTCAGTAAGCCAGCAACTTGGGTAACAGCCCTTAAATTGACATTGTTTGGGAATGAATGGATCCAATTGGCTTTAAACGTTTTGTTCCCCCACATAATTCCTATTTTAGGCAGATTGGTTACTATAGAGACTAGAGCTGCCTTCATTCTGGATGGTCAAGAGACGACAAGCTTTCTAACGTCCAGAGCAAAGGTCTAAGGTCCAAGGTCCTGGACTCAGCCCAACCCAGCGTCACTGTGGACCTGATCACAGTGCACCTCAGTGCTGCAGTTCTCCTGTGGCTAACAGGAGTGAAAATATGTTTGCTGGAGCCTCTGGGAGAGAGATATTTATTTGTTTTGTTATTGGTGTTGAGTGAAAAGGAAGGGCTAGGGATGAAGGGAGGGTGATTTAAACACAAAGTAAATTAAAAGCAAATGAACTTGGAAGGCTGTTGATGACCTACTAAAGACACCAGTTGGGAAATGCAAGTGAGCACTCATCACGGTGTTGCCCCTGGGGTAGAGACTTGGGCAATCCTGGCTTGGAATGTTTTATTTTTAACATGTGTGTATGAAGGCACGCACACCAAACCTTAAGTTCCTAAAGGTAATAGTTAAAGGCTGCAATTAACAAATGATTAAGTTATAAGTTGTTCATCCTGTCCTCCAGAAGAATTTATTTACTATTTATTTACTATTAACTCTCTCTCTCTCTCTCTCTCTCTCTCTATATATATATATATATATATATATATATGATTTTTTAAAGATCCTTTTAAAAAATGAGTGTATTAATTGGAGAAAGTAATGAGTTTCATGCAGATAATGTGCTTCATCCTCCTTGTTGCTTTTTTATCTCCTCCTTCCCCCTTTCCTTTCTACCTTCTTAATAATCCACCTTTTACTTTCATGCCTTTCCACCATAAATTCCCTGAATGAGAGAAAACATAAGATGCATTGGGCTAGTTCTACCTACTTTCCTACCTTTTGTACATCTTTAGGACTCAATAAAACTTTATTGTGATTTTTAGGCCCCAAACCAACAAGCTAGTGTGAAAGAGCGCCTATAGAGTCATTACCTAGCTTCAATAGCTATCACTATTTGAGCTCTTGTTTTTATCTCATTCACTTTTTTATTCTTTTATCTCTGGCTTATATAGCAGTAACTGTGCCTCTCCAACACACAAAGCCATTAGCACAACAACAGAATCTAATGCAAATTCAATTTTCATAGCTTTTCCTCAGGGACATCCCTTTCAACAGTTGGTTTGTCCAACCAGGATTCAGTAATGTCTCACATATTATGGTTGTTTAATATGCCTATAAGTTGTTTTAAATCAATAACACATTTAACTTCTCCTCGTCATTTATTTAGGAAAAAAAATCAAAGATCTCAAGAACAAGCTCATGCAGTGAACATCATTTATTTTCAAATTTCACACAGTTGCTCCACGCTTGAGTGTTGGGGATTGTGTATCATCTGCATTACCACTATCACCACCATCGTCACCATCATCATCACCATCATTGCATCAACACCACCGTCACCACCATTATTACCATCATCCCATCACCACCATCATCATTATCATTGAATCACCACCACCACCACCATCAGCATTTTGGTGAGCCAGTGAGAGTTTACAAGTGTGTTGCAGACACTGTAACATTTTATTTACCTTCGGCCGTTTCAGTGAGCATTTTTGAGATTAAGGACATTCAATTACAAAGTCTCATGATAAATATTACACTAGGAAATTTAACGCTAAAAGAAAAATTGGACCCATTGTTCAATCCATACTCAAATGCTGCCTATCAGTTGTTGTAACTCATTTTAAGTTCTGGGATTGGGGGGGGGTTGGAGTGGAAATAGGAACAAATAAAGACTAAAATACCATGTCTAGGTTTTGTTGTTGTTGTTTGTTTTTCTTTTTCATTCTTTCTGGTTTTTGTTTGTTTGTTTGTTACTCTTTGACATCCATCCCACCCACCCCTGGTCAGAAATCACCTCAGGACTGTTTGCATGTTAGACAAGCAAGCACTGCCCCTCTAAGCTATTCAAGAATTCTGTTGAATTCTCCTCAACCTAGAATGTGCTGCAAAGACCATTATTTTATCTTTCACTAGGATGACATTTTCACATGCGCATAATGGTTTATTTTATATGATTTTTATTATTTAAAAAAATTTTCAAATTTAAAGATATTTTGATCATATTCTTCCCCTTCCCTAAGTCCTTCCAGATCCTCTTTCCCTCCCTACCCTCCAAACTTTTTTTCCTCAAAAAAACAAATAGAAACCTAATATAATAACAACAACCCCTCCAACCAAGAATAGGAAATAAAACCACACCCCAAACAACAAAACAACAACAAAAATCCCACCAAATAAAACTTTAACCAAATAAAAGCGCGTGTGCGCGTGAGCACACACACACACACACACACACACACACACACACACACACAACTTGTGGAGTTCATTGACATATCTTAAAATATCTATGTATTTATTTATTTTTATTTAAGAAGTTACTGGGCAGCATGCTGTTTGGTTGGCTTTACCTGAGTGTTCTTACTTTTAGGCAGAAGAATCTCAAATTTGAGTCCAGCCTGGGCTCCATATACAAATAAGTAGTAAGTGTCTCCTCTCTCTCATATACATATATGTGTATATATGTGTGTATACATATATATGTACATGCACACATATGTATACATGCACATATATTGTGACTAGCCTAGTTTGTTATAATTTGGAACACAGTTGTTCCCCTTTGTTGAGACTTAGTTTTGCATCTTCTCTGATGCTCTTGCTTTCTCCACTGGATGTCTGTCTTGATCTTCGTCCTCATAGTAGCATCTCTCTTCATCTTTTGTATCTCCAAGTGAGGTCAGCCTAGAGCTTACTTTCAAGAGCTTCTGTGTGGTCCTAAGGATGTACCAGGAACATTTAGTCTCATCCTTAGGCATGGTTACCACTGGGATTCCTTCCTGCTGCACAGACAGCAGCAGTGTGTTTCAGCCCACAGCTGTGGAGAGAGAAGGAGTTTGGGTCCATATGTTACTATCTCTCCCTCTCATGTAACCTAGCTTCTTCTGCCTGGAATGTGAGAGCTCCCCAGATCATGAGACAGGAAGCACCTGGTTCCCATGTGGATTTGCCATCAGCACCATCTGTTTCTACATCTGCTCTTGGGCCCTGTGCTCACCCATCTAATCAAGGCAGCTGGCCTGTGTTGGTCCCGTTACTTGTGTAGGGCTGTGCACTTAAGCCACCGAGGAGCTTGTTTTTAGCCACTTAGCCAATTAGGGCAGCCTGAAGGAGCGCACATGGAGGCAAACACAAAACCTGTCTCAGCAATCTCAATAGTTAGCCCCCACCTCTCTCAGAGGATTAAGTGACCATGCCAAGGGCCCCCTTCTCTCATTCACCGTGAGTGTGGATGGCTCTCCCCGTGTCTCAAAGTCTATCTGGACCAACCTCAAGGCATCCACGTGGTCCCCCATGCTCAGCTCCTGCTGCAAGTTCATTAGTTCTGGCCCATGGTGTTGTGCCTCATCTTAAGGCCATTTAGCAGAAGATATAGAGAGAAAGATGGTGGGGAAAGGAAAATGCTTTAAAAAAACAAAACAAAACAGTGAATGAGGTTGAGTCACTTAATGCCCACCACCCCTCTTTCACCCTTGTTCTGTCTCAGGAGTCATCTTGTTTTAGACTCTGACAAACAACCAGACAGGAAGAGCTTGGCTCCCGAAAGGAAAACTGGCAAGCAGTCATGGGATGTAGGGGAAATCTGTTTGTGTGTTCAGGTGTTTTATGGAGGAAATGGGAAAGAACTGTAAGCCAACGAGAGTGGTGGACTGGTATCCCTCGTGATGTGTTAGGAAATGTGCTTCATCATCACAGTGAGCCTGGCTGTCACACATGATTACTCCACTTAAATCCCTACCCCAGAGTAAAGTCAACGTTACCATCACCATTTAAAGGCTGACAGGGATTGTGTGTTGTTGTTGAGGCAGTGTTTTGCTTTGTAGCACAGGCTGGCCTTGAGCTTGAGACCCCCTGTGCCGGGACTGTAGGGGTGAGCCACTGTGCCCATCTTAAAAAGCAAGAGCTCTCTAGCTCAGAGACATCGGATGGCATTCCACAGCCATGCGACTACAAGCGACTACAAGCGACTACAAGCGACAGTCTAGTTTTGAACTCAGCTTAAAAGTTCTCTTCAGCTTAAAAGCCAGTGGTTTTGCCTCTAGTCCCTACTGCTTTCTTGGGAGCACCAGACTGCTTACCTGACGCCCAGCGTGAATTTTCTTCCCCCTCTCTGCCTGATGCTTCCACCACTGCCAATCCCATCCTACCCAAAGAGGCTTTGCAGCCAAAGGGCTTTTTTAGGGTGTTGAGCACTCATAGAAATGCAATGCAAGCACATGCTTGCTCTTAAGCCTAAGTCCCAGGATGGCAGAAAAGAAAGAGGTGACATGGCAATGCTGGTTCCTAGTAAGTCTGCCATGTCTGTGCTTAGCATCAAATAACTCATTTTGAGAGCCAAGTCTGCTGAATAGTTTTTGCTACTGTTAGATTGAAGGCTACACACACACACACACACACACACACACACACACACATACACACACCATCGGAACATCAGAAGTTGGAATGAAATGGGAGGGAATGTAAGAAGAGAAGGATGTTGCCAAGTACACAGGGCCAGCAGAAAGGTCAGGACTGCCTTGGTCCCCAGCCTGCCCCATGACTCACACACAGCACAACTTCAATTCTTAGCTTACATGTGGGAGAAGGAAACCTGAAGCTGGGCCAAAAGTTTGGCCTGGTCAGAGA